TTTAGGGTTTAGGGTTTACTTCTTGGGCCAGGGGGTGTAAATAATTACTAGTACTACTACGTATACTTAAAATGGCTTCGTGCTCATGATGCTCGCGAGAAGCCTTGAATGAGGTCCTGGATGAAAGCCTCACCCTCCTCACCCGGGAACCACTTCTGCAGTTGGAACAGTGTAACCTCGGCCAAATCGGCATGCAAGCACACTCTGCTAAATTTCATCAGATTTGGATTCTGCTGGGGCACGGTTCTGTACTTGTCCTTGTGGCTGTCCCGAACAACAGACCTGTAGTGATCCTCGATCTTGATCTGAGCCATGGAGGGTGCAAGCAGCAACTCCTTCATGAAGCTGAACCTCGGCCGGCTAGCCCACCAGTTATGAACTTAAATGCTCCCCGAAGCACGGACTCATTGCACGATTTATCCTAGAGCCCCCTGAATGATAAATGCCATGCCACCGATCCGCGTCCGTTCTCAACATGTCGTACTTCCGCACGATGGCTGGGTCCACGTCCCGGGCTCTCACCAATCGATTGGCCTTCGAATAATACCTTTTCCGCACCACGTAAGGCATCTCCGAGGGGCCAGTCATGTTCCTTAGGCTCGCCTTTTCCTCCTCCGAAAGACCCTTCTCTTTCCGGCCCACAGCGGAGGCAGCAGCCTCGGAGATCGTGGTTTTCGTAAACTATAATATAAGGCCTTAAGGTCTGAAAAAAAAAACCTGCCTTGGGGCTCGCCTTGGCTTTTGGGCTGCTCTTTGTGGGGCTCGCCTTGACTTTTGGGCTGCTCTTCTCCTGCACACTGCCACAATGGATGCTCTGATATTCCAGGAGTACATAATATATAATATTGGGTTTCTACCTATAGGCATAAGCCCAAATTCGTAAGTGTCACTTGCTTTAAGATCTGTATAGGAAGACTCCCGGAGGATTGTGTCGTTTAATATTAGAACTGTAGAGGAGCAGGTTTGGGGTTTTACCTAGCCATAAGCCCAAAATGAAAAGTGTCAGTTGTTATAA